TGGCCCTAGTCACAGAGGCGTAGATTTGGATCTTGAAAAGTATACACCTGAATTCTTGCTGCATGACTTGGTGCCATCTACCATAAATATTGGAAGCCACAAAATTTTCCTGTATTTTTCATGCCACGTACTTTTGTTCTATTGGGATTTGATAATAGATAACTCTGGTATAATTTTGACTGTTCCAGAAAAGAATTATTTTACAAAATAGTTTCCAATGTATCAGGCCTCTACTTTTCCTGGTATGGGTATGATAAAATTGAATAGATGCTAGTTTCTAGTGAACAGTGTAAACTAAATAAACTATCCTTTAACATAATGTATATATTTTGCAGTAAGCCAAAAACATTCATTCTATATTTAAGAGTTTGTGGTTTGTGTGCTACAGTCACCCCTCATCCCTCGCACTTCGCATTTCAAGGTCGCAGCTTCACTCTGTTGAAGTTTTTTTATTTGAAAAAACTGCGATAGAGTGAAGCCGCGAGGGATGACTGTGTATAAATAATGCTACTTTGCGGAAATTTATTTATCGGGGTAGAGTCTGGAACTGATTAACCACGATAAACGAGGGCCCACTGTATTCCAAGAGGGTCTGGTAATCCCTGTGATTAATCACATAAAATTTATGTTTACTGTGGAGAAACATGAGCAACCTGGCCACTGTGAATCACTTTGGAAACAACTCTGTTTAAAAACTGCTCAGATCATTAAATCAACTTCAGTCCAACAAACATGAAGCACCTTTCATGGTCTTATAAAATTTACAGTGATATAGGAAAGGAAAGGCTATAAACAAATATTCAATGTGATAAGAGAGAGTGATTAAATTTGGAGTTGGATGGGCTTCAAGAAGGTCTTAGAGAAGTAATGTTTCAGCTGGATTGGGAAGGAAGGTGGAATTCAGCAGACCTCAGTATGAAAGGATGGTCCCAGAGAAAGAAAAGTTGTGCAGGGCCTGCAAATAGTTGATGACAGCTGATTTGTCTGGTGCGAAGCACTGTGATGAGAGAAGTGTGGGAAAGGTGGATATGACCCAGATCATTGAAGGCCATGGATACTGTACTAATGGACAAGAAAACTGCATGATGAGGAAGGAGCCAGAGCAGAGTTAAGCAGAGGAGTGACATGATCTTTCTGAACCACAAATCTGACCATGTTGAGAAGGCATGGGAAGGTGAAGAAATGGGAGGCATTTAGGGGAGGCCTGAATTAAGGCAGTGGCAAGTATATTTGGAGCTAATATATTTGAGAGAGATGTAGAATTGACAGGACATAATTTCATAATTAAATGAAAGGTGTAGCTTTAATCACTACTTGGAAAATGTTAGCTGTATTTTTAGTATTATTTACATTTAAGGTCATTTAAGCATCAGATTGGCTCAGAAAAGACAACAGGAAAGGAAAACCCCACATTTTTAAGAAGGAAACATTTTGAAAGCATGAAGTAAATCATTAACTAAAAAATCACAAGCCTGCTATTTGAATTTAGACTTATAAGCCTGATTTGCAGTGATTTTCATATAACTGGTGGTTTCAAAAGATAAGAAAATTTTATAAAAAAAGAAAAAGAAAAATTCAAAGCTACCATAGCTATAGCATCTTTGGAATGGAATATCCTACAGTTTTAAAAAATCACTGCTGTGCCTGGCTGGTATGGCTCAGTGGTTGAGCATTGACCCATGCACCAAGAGGTCACTGGTTCGATTTCTAATCAGGGCACACACGCCCAGGTTGTGGGCCTGATCCCCAGTGAGGGGCATGCAGGAGGCGGCCAATCAATATTCTCTCTCATTGATGTTCTCTCTCATCGATGTTTCCATCTCTCTCTCTCCCTTCCTCTCTCTCTCAAATCAATAAAGAAAAAAAAATTTAATAAAAAATCACAGTTGTATTTTCTATTATTCCATGTGTGAGCTTTTATTGTAAAATTTTTGTCCACATATAAGCTGTGGCCAAATTCCTGGATCAAATATTTATTTTAGAAGGAATTTAGCAATATTTTTTGTCACATAATCTGCTCATTAGAGAAAACCTGGCCATTTTGCTGGTGATAGAAAATGGAATTTTCAGGTCATCTGAAAGATCACTTTCTATTAAAATTTATTAATACTTGTAAATAAAAGCTACTTAAAAACATAATGTCTTAATTCCTTTCACAAGTACTATCCAGAATCAAAGACTCCTCTTTTTTCACCAGCTTATAATAAAATTACTTAACCTTATTAATTTTTAATATTGCTTTATGGGAAATAAATGTATTTTTCTGAAAAAGTCGAGAAGCATTTATTAAGTGTCCATTTGTAGAACACTATTCTTGCCATCCTGAGAAATAATTTCTCAAGGGCACTTTTATAATCCACTTGGTGAGACAAAATAGACCTATGAACTAATAAATATTCAGTGATAATCAACTGAATAACCACTATGGAAATTCAGGGTCAAAAGAAAGGATTTCCTAGGAGACAGCTTTAAATAGAACTTAGAGAAAAAATGTTTTTTGAAAATCAAGACATTTCTCTTCAAATATAGAACTATTATTTAAAATGAGGTTCCAACAGTCTCTTTCTTCACTAAGTATATCTCCTTAACATCAAGACAAAAAGGGCCTTTTAATCACTGCTTTATTAAATCATTTAGAGGAAGACTAGGGCCAAAGGAGAGATTTTTACGTTGGGAGCTCTGTGTTTCACGTGGGTAATTGTCATGGAATCCTGAGTTTCCACAGGGGTTTTTAACCTTTTCTTATGCCATAGGTCCCTTTGGCAGTCTGGTAAAGTCTAGGAATCACTTCTCAGAATAATGCGGCTGTGATTTCTCTCTGTGACAAACCCATAAATACTGCTGATACTACTGTGATTTATGGCCTATATTTATACTTGAAGGAGCTGACAGATTTCAAGTAGTGGCTAGTAAAAGCTGTACGTTTTCATGGGTTCTCTGAAGTCTTTCCATGGATCTCTTGGGGTTTCAAAGATTCTAAGTTAAGAAATGACCAATTTAGCACTTACCTGAGAAGCCCCAGTAAGTAAAAGACTGACTAGATAGGGCTCACACCCCTTTCAAAGAAATCGCTTTTATTTTGTTTTATATATTATAATTCCATGTAAGATTTCATTTGGAATAAAAATGGCTTCCAGGGCTAAAGTATAATTTGGAAAATTATAAATGGAAAAAAAAATTCTCTGTTTATCTCACTTTTTTAACTGAAAACACATTTCTGTTGTAAATGTTCTAAGCACATTAGTGTGCCATCGAGTTTATAACACTGGAAATAGAAATTCAGAAGTCAACAGTATAGAGTTGAAGCCATGGACCCATCTATCAATCAGTAAGATTGTCCAGCAATAAACTGAGTGTAGAGATGAGAAACAGGCCAAGGAGTGGACAGAAGAAAAGCCTGGAAAGAAGGAGTCGTCAGGTAAGTCTGGGAACACAACTTCTGTAATGTTACAGAAGCAAAGGGTGTCAAATGCTACAGAGATGTCACATACGATGAGGACAAGTAAAGAATCCACAGAACTTGGCCATAAGGTCAGTGACCTTTCCCGTGGCGTTTTTAGCGGAGTTGGGAGGGCAGATGCCAGATTGAAATGGTTTGAAGACTGAACAAGAGATGAAGTAGAGTCCATATGGTATAGACCAGTGCTTTTCGAACGTTTGTGGTGAAGCACAGTAGCTGTAATTTCCAATCTGTTGTAGAGTGACGACAACCCTGCTATATGACTAGTATGTCACTGTGCTGGGGCGGGAGCAAGGTACCCTGAGCTTTGGATGACAACCAAGCTGGTCTATATTCTGTTCAACAAGACAAGTCCACTGATGACAGGCTTGAATTCTGCGGCTATGTCAAATTGCTACAAAAGGCTGTAAAGGCTGCCCTGGCTGGTGGTGTTCAGTGGTTAGAGCATCACCTCTCACACCCGAAGGTCACAGATTTGATTCCCAGTCAAGTACCTGGATTGCAAGTTCAATCCCACCCCCTGTCGGGGCAGGTGCAAGAGGCAGCCAATTGATGTTTCCTCTCTCTCTCTCTCTCCTCACCCTCCCCTCCCTTACACTCTCTCTAAAAATCAATGGAAAAAATATCCTCTGTTGAGGATGAACAACAAAAAGGTTCTAAATGCTTTTCTTTGTTCTATACAGTAGTAGAGGTATAGACTAGTTTTTCAAGAAGCTTATCTTTCAAGGAAGGCAGAATAGTCAGTACTCTATGGAGCCTTACAGGGTTGAGAGAAAGTTTCTACCAATATTATTTCTTACAACTTTCTCCTCTAACTCTCTCCTAATGTTCTTCATGCTTCACATTCTTTTCAGCCCCTAACTTGGATTTCCAGCACCTAAAATAGTTCCTGGTACATAGAAAACATTTAAATTAAAAAGTCGACCAAATGGCCCTGGCCGGTTTGGCCGGTTACAGCGTCGGTCTGCGGTCCAGAGAGACCCGGGTTCGGTTCCCGCTAAGGGCATGTACCTCAGTTGCAGTTTGTCCCCGGCCCTGGTTGGGTCGTGCGGGTGGCAACCACTCGATGTGTCTTTTTCACGTCGATGTTTCTCTCTCTCTCTCTTCCTCTCTCTCCCTCCCACTCTATCTGAACAAAAAAATGAAAAAATGTCCTCGGGTGAGGATAAAAAAAAAAGTCGACCAAATTAATGAAATTTCATGTGCACTGTGAAGGATCTAAGTGGTCCTGTGTTTCCATATTTTACAGTAAAATATCCCACCTCATTTAACCTCTGGATATTTACTTGTCAGTCAAAGAATTATCAGGGAGGCCCATAATCTTCTCAGTCTTTGAGTGTATTAAAGGGCTGCTCTCTATGTTCAAAACTGAAATCACTTTTATTTAGTAGGACCTGTGCTTTGAATTTCATTTGTTTTCTCAAAATTGGTGATGGATTTGCCTCTTGCTTTGCCTTCCCTTTCCTCTTCAAGGGCATACATTAGCAAAACCCTAAACAGGTTTGGGACTATAGCATGGCCACAGAATAAAGAGAACTGAATTGATGCCTGGCAGGGGAGATACCATGATCAGGAAGATGGTTTTCCCAGGACGAGGCTTATCTATTTCACTCCGGATGGTCTGACCCCTGGGATTTCCCCAAACGTGGGAAACTCAACTACTCAATTTGTGATAGTGGGGGAATGCATTTGTGCTCTCCTCTACAAGAAAAAAAGAGAGAGAACTGGATTGACCTGCACAGAGCTCAAACCCTAAAATAATATTTTAGTATAAAAGAACTCTGGTTTTTTTGTAAATCTTTTCACATTCCTCTTTTTCTAATTGGACAGTTTTCAAATATTCCTCTTCTTATCTACAGCATTGCCCCCAGCCCACACAGTGGAACTCAAATATGTACCTGCAAAAATGAGAATTCTAATATAAAATGTGGACAATCTGAATAGGAGCCAAAGAAAAGCAGACAATTTCAGTCATTCATACAACAAACATTTACTGAACGCTTAGTATGTGCCAGACACAGCACTGAGTGCCAAGCATATAATTTCCCTCCGGTCCAGTTGGGTGTGGCAGGCTAGACTTCTATATTTAAGAATTCAGCCAGACTCATTTCCCATGGCAGCCGGAAGGCTTTTCACACGCATGTGGTTTATGCAGCTCCAGTGCATCCTAAACTAGATTGCTAACAGGCATTCTTTAACAGTTTTAAGGAAGAAGCAGGAAGAAGCGTGCTGTATATGTGTGTATGAGTTGGGGTGTGCAGTAGAGATAGAGGAGAGTAAATGGGAACTTTTAGTACTTTGGAGGAATAAGCAGTAGTTGTTTATATAGCTTAGTCAATAAGGGTTATTATGGCTTTTTGCCCAATTCTGGGGTAAATAGGACCTTAATTTTTTTCTTCTTTATTGATTTTATTTTATTTATTTATTTTTTATCCTCACCCAAGGACATATTTTCCATTTTTGTTCAATAGAGTGGGAGGGAGAGAAAGGATGAGAGAGAGAGAGAGAGAGAGAGAGAGAGAGAGAGAGAAACATCGACATGAAAGGGACACATCGAATGGCTGCCTCCCACACGACCCCAACCAGGACAAGGGATGAATCATAACCGAGGTATGAGGTACGTGCCCTTGACTGGAATCAAACCCGTGACTCATTGGTCCTCGGGCTGACGCTCTAACCGCTGAGCCAAACCAGCCAGACAGGATCTTAACTCTTTAGTTGTAAGTCTTATTCCTCATCTGGTCCTTAGCATGAACTACACATCTGTAGGAAAATCTATTGTCCCATTTGAGTCAATGACTGTTGAAGTGTGTGGCTTGCATGTATTTGTTCATTCATTCATTAAAAAACAACTTAGTGAATAAATTCTATGTTTGCGTCCTTACTGTACTAAAGGGGCATAGCTGAGAAGAGAAGAACTATATGTCAGTAGCCATAACACAGGGTAGAAGGTGTTCAGTGCTGTATTTAGATCAGTGATGTTCACCCAGTGTGCTGCAAGAATTTTTATAAAATGCAATACCTGACTATTTCGTCAGGGGCACTGACCTATTTTCCTTTAGATTGTCAAATAAAAAAAGGATGACAGCCAACACAACAATAGCCATCCAGTGTAAATGAATCAATATTTTACCTTTTTTTTTTTGTCAGATTGGCAAATTTTTTGGTGTGCTGCAGAATTTTAGTAATTAGTTTATGTGTGCCATGAGATGAAAAAGGTTGATAATCACTGACTTAGGTAATACATAATTAATTCCATTAACCTGGCTGTCAAAACAGCCCAGGGCCATTCAGAAATACCACAGGCAAAATTACGTAGTGGAAAAGCCTGGCTTTTGCCATCATGTGTCATCAAAATGTCCCCTCCTACTTTCTACTAGGTTCGTGATTTTGGACAAAGTATTCACTTTTGTGGGCCTCAGAGTGCTCATCTGAAAAATAGGAATAATTGCTGGATAACCAGTAATAATAGCTAACATTTATTGAGCATTTACTATGGGCACTTCACATAAATTACCTCATAATTATCCCTCCAAACAAGGCCAGTAGTGGTGTTACTATTCCTCTGCGTAGCTTAGAGGTTAGATAACTTGCCCAAGGTTAGTGACAAAGAAAATGGTACAGTTCCCGGCCAGTGTGGCTCAGTGGATTGAGTATCCTCCCATGGACTGAGAGGTCCTGGTTCGATTCCCGGTCAGGACACATGCCTGGGTTGCTGGCTTAATTCCTGGTAGGGTGTGTGCAGGAGGCAGCAGATCGATATCACTTTCTCTCTCCCCCTTCCTCTCTCTAGAAAAATCAATAAAAACATATTATTTAAAAAATGGTGCAAACAGTGTCTGAATTCAATCTTGATTCCAGACTTGTCAGTCTTTTTCTTTTTTAAAAATAGCTTTGTTGAGATATAATTCATGTCATACAATTCACCCATTTAAAGTGTACAATTCAGTGGTTTTTATTATATTCACAGTTATGAACCTTCACCACAATCTAATTTTAGAACATTTTTATTCCTCCTAAAAGAAACCCCATGCCCATTAACAATTACTCCATCCCGAACCCTTCACTCCCAGTCCTAGGCAGCCAGTAATCTGCTTTGTATTTCTATAGATTTGCCCATTCTGGACATTTTATATAAATGGAATCATATAATATGTAGGGCTTGTGACTGGTTCTTTTACTTAGCATGATGCTTTCAAAATGTATCCATGCTGTTGCATATATCAAAACTTTTGATTGCCAATTACTATTAATTCTATCGTGTAAACACACCACTTTTGTTTATCCATTGATGGGCTTTGGGGTTGTTTCCACTTTGGGGTTACCATGAATAATGGGACTATGAACATTTGTGTATAAGTTTTTTTGTGTGTGTATTTAAGTTTTCATTTCCCTTGGTTATATATCTAGCAGTCATATGCTAGGTCATATGATAAGTTTGTTTAACTATTTAAAAAATATTCTTTATTTTAATTGTGAAAAGTTTTTAAAGTTGAAAGAATAATGCAGAGTATGTGCCTACCCTCCACTTAGATTCAATAATTATTAACATTTTTCAGTTCTACATTCCCACTTCTTTCCCCAGCCCCTACTTTTCTCTCTCTCTTCCGCTCATTACATTTTTAGAGCCAGCCCTCTTTACTACTTTATATTTATCACCAATAAAATAAGTGAAATCGTATAATGCATAATAAATGGTTAATAATAGCTACTCAATAAATGTAAGTTCCCTCCTTTCCTCTTTTCCCCAATACTTAAAAATGTTGTATATAATCTGGGGCTGCAAACTCTACATCAAGATAACAGAAGTGAGATCTAAATAAAGATTTGTGAATCTTACTTCCTGTAGTATTCCTGTACTAAGGTCAGTGGACTAGGTGGGTGACCATCTACACTGTGGTGATCCAACTATCCAATTCCTGATTGATCTTACTGGGGTGATAATTAGGAAGAGCAAGATGGATTCTGTGAACAGTTAAATTAACAGAAAATAAAATAGGTAAAATCCAAATGGTCACAACTGGTTTGTTTGTTTGTTTGTTTGTTTGTTTGTTTTTTAGGTAGTAGGAACTTCAGCTCATAGGCTACACAAACAAGCCTATTCTAAAGCAAAATAAGTCTTGCCCTGGCCAGCATTCTCAGTGGTTAGAGCATCACCCCACTCACTAAAGGGTCTTGGGTCTGATTCCTGGTCAAGGGCACGTATCTGGTTTGCAGATTTGATCCCCAGCCCTAGTTGGGGAGCGTGCAGGAGGCAACAAATCAATGAGCCTCTCTGAAATCAATGATTCTCTCTCTCTCTCTCTCTCCCTCCTTCCCTTCCACTCTACCTAAAACTCAATGGGAAAATATTATTTGGTGAGGATTACCAAACAAACAAACCAAAAAAGTAGTTATTCAACGTGTTTTTGTTTTCTGATTTTCACTTAACATTATATGCAAATATGTGCAGTATATATACATGCAAAAGACACATAGTAGTTCCCTGTTATCCAAGGTTTACTTTCCTCGGTTTCAGTTACAACCTTCATCCGAAAATATTAAATGGAAAATTGTATTTATTTATTTTATTTATTTATTTTTATTAATCCTTACCCAAGGATATTTTTCCATTAATTTTAGAGAGAGTAAAATAGAAGGGAGGGTGGGAGGGAGAGACAGACACACGGATTGGTTGCCGTCGCACACGCCCTGACTGGGGCAGGGGTTGAACCTGCAACTCAGGTACATGCCCTTCAGTGCATAGGATAATGCTCTAACCATGGAGCCACACCAGCCAGAACAAACAATTCATAAATTTTACGTTGTACACTGTTCTGAGTAGTGTGATGAAATCTCATGAGTCCACCACATCCTGCCCCAGGCATGAATTGTCCCTTAATCCAGCATATCCACGCTATATATACTACATACCTTACCAGCCTTTCAGTCACTTAGTAGCCATCTAGATTGTCAGAGACAGTCCAGGTATCACATTGCTTGTGTTCAAGTAACACTAATAGTAGCCTAACGCAGCCCTTCCATGAATTGGAACAATTCAAACTGTTAATGGTTTTAAATAGACAGTGATCACATTTGCTTTTTTTGAATGATTATACCTCTGAAATTTCTTTTTATTTTTTTAATTTATTGATTGATTTTGAGAGAGAGAGAGAAAAAAACATCAATCTGTTATTCCACTTATTTATGCATCCATTGGTTGACTCTTATATGTGCCCTGACCAGGATCAAACCCAAAACCCTGGCCTATCAGAACAAAGCTCTAACCAACTGAGCTACCCGGCGAAGGCCACCTCTAAAATTTCTAAATATAAACTTAAACCATGATTCCCCCTACACACACACACACACACACACACAGTCCTTGAATCAGAAGAGTGATGGCTTTTCCCCAACATTTTATTTTGAAAAGTTTTAAACATATAGAAATGTTGCAAGTAGCACAGTGAATATCATGTGCTGTTCACTTAGATTTATCAATTGAATTTCACTGAGTTTCATCTCTCCCTTTCTATTCTTTTATTTTTTGTTGTTGAACCATTTAAAATTTAATTATAGACACTGTGACACTTCATCTCAAAATACTTCAGCGTGTATTTCCTGACAACAAGAACAGTCCTCCTACATAACCATGGAATAAGTATTTCACTCAGGAAATTTAACATTAATGTACTAGTATTATTAATATACAGTCTTTGGTCAAA